TCCACTGTCGATCATTGTTTATTCTCCCATTGCAACGAACTTCTGTGAAGGACAGCGAGGTCAGTCTTAGACCACACTTGACAAAATTTCCACAGACTCTATATTGCATTTTGACACTGGCTTCCAGTACCATGATTAAACAAATTTAAGGCGCAAAACTCCATTGGAGCTGTATCGAGGGTCTTCAAAGCCATGTGATCGAGATGGATTGTTGTATTCCCTGCTTCTTCGCCAATTTTTTTTTCGTGGAAAGTCGTTGATTTTAGGTTGTGTTTGGAAGATAGTGAGCTTTCAACATCTTCAAATCCTTGTTTATTGTCTAACCGAAAATACGAGATATAACCAGATTCAACGCAATGTTATGGTTTTTTTTGAGGGGGTGAATTATCTGTCATTATCTTAGCCTTAACTTTGCTGATGAGAACGTTGCTCGAGTTTGAGTTGGTTGTAGAGCCCCCTTGCTGTGCTAAACCCCCTGGGTGCGAGTTTCTTTCTTGGCATGGATAACATTGAAGGCACTCTTTTTTTCGAAATGCTGTATCTTTTAACAGTCTCGCTGTACGAATAAATTTATATTACCATAAAGTCATAACGCTTTCAAAACATTAAAAACTTTATTCAGCTTTAAATAGAAAGGTATTTCATTGACATTATAAGACGTTCTTTAAGAAAATAATATGTTGTTGTTTGTTATTAAGCACAAAGGGCTATTTGGGCTCTGCCCACCACGGGTATTGAAACCCGGTTTCTAGCCGTATAAGTTCGCTGACATACTGCTGTGCCACTGGAGTTGGGGGGGGGGACAAGAAAAGAATATGAAAGTATATTTAAGGAAACTACATGTATAGAAAATGAAGAACCAAAGTTTGGGAAGGAATAATGACATCAAGATTTTTAGGAATTTTTTATTAGACAAAAATCACCAATTTATATAGATCTATTAAATTAACGTATGCTTAATACTTATTAAATAAGAGCACCAAACCACTTATACAAATACTTATGTTGCAAGAATGCTTAAAACTGCTTTTTGTTTAACCTCAACGTCCACTTTTAAGACCATTGTTTAGTATGAACGTAGTTTCAACTGATGCCTTATAGATGTACTATCATTTCAGAAAAGAATTTTCAATGAATAACTGAAGCATGCCTTTATTTGCGTACACACTGTTAAACAGTTTAATATTTTTAAACACATGAAAGACAGATTACTTAAAAACACGTAACTGACTTTAAACTATTTTAACATTGAACAAAAATTAACATCAACAAAACATCCAAAGAGTTTATACGCTTTTATAACCCTTTCTTTTTGTACAAATATTTTGGATAAATTATACTTGTGATCCCACTAACAGATTCTTAGAAATTTATACTATATTATAAAATTATAATTTGATTTTTGTCCAAAAAACATTTGGTATTATTCTTAATGCAGTCTGAAAAAAAAGAGAGTGTATAATTAAATTATTTATCATATCTTCAGGGGAGCAGGAGAAAAAAAAGCTCCCTCTAGCCTTGTGTAGAAAGGAGCAAGCGGAGGCGGCAGCGGCCAACCTCAAGTACAGGAATTCCTACGGGGATAAAAACAACAAGGAAATTTCTATTTAGAGATTTTAAATTTTCATAAAATCTGTTTGGACAAAACTGTCCAAAAAAGTATATATTATATAATGTCACCAGTTACTCAATAATAAAAGCCTTCATGTGTAAGTGATATCCGACAGTTTCAAGTTCGTTAGAAACAGCTCCCTCTGGGGATGAAAAACAAAAGCTTCTACAGTACAGCACATTTGATTTTGTTAAATAGAAAGTTACTTATATCACTAATTTTCGAGTTTTACTTTTGAACTTTCTCTTTTAGACAAAAGCTCTTATTACATTTAAATACAGTCTACGGAAATTAGATATACAATTTTTAGAACGCAAATGATACAAAAAAAAATTGACACACGTATATCATAAGATTTTGCAATTAAGATGTGTGTAATAATATTATATCTTAACGTTATACTAACACGAGGTGAAACCGCACCATAATTTGCACTTGCTACACAATTCACTCATACTAAGTTTATAATCTCAGCAAATTTTCTTGATTAGAATAGAACGAAACATACACAATAACGAAACTTGCAGTAAGGTACTCTGTAACAGAAAAATATTCTGTACTTCAAATTTATATAAACAGGTTGAAACGACACCTTTAAGATTTTTCTAAAAGCATCATGACTGCTTTGGTATAACATAAAAAAATCTTCAGAAAACAATAATAGTTTGGAAAATACCAAATTATATATGACCCACTTTAAAAATACGAATTCTGAATCAAAAAAGTATTGTCAAATGTTTAAATGTAAATAGTTTGTAGTGTCAATGAGAAAACTTTGGTGTGATTCCCAACACTGTCGACTGTTATCGAGGATTAAATGTGGAAATATTTTCGATTAAACGTCACTTGTGAACATCAGTGTTGAAGAAAACCCTTTTCTGTGCAAGGTTTCTGATGAATGACAGGAATCGATAAACTATCTGATCAACAAGGACATTAGATATTCTTGGAAAAACCTTTTACTCATCCTTTGTGGGCACATCATAAAAATAATGGTCGTAAATCTTTCTAGATCTTAACCGTTATCGTAAAAATTAGCCTCAAAAAGATAAGCTTTACACAACTTGAAAAAACAAACTTTGAAGCAGTCTCTCTCTCTCTTTTCTTTTGTAATGACGTTACATTCAAAATATATTTTTCTATCCTCGCGTCAGTAAAGCAACTTACTTTTCATGAAAGAGTGATTCACGGTATTTAAAAGTTTGATTGAGTGAGGGAGAAATACTTCAAGACTAAATACTAGAGTAAAAAATCAAACGTCCTTGGGTCGAGAGTAAACACATATTGTAATAGGACGACTGCAACTACAGGAACACTATGTGTTATAAACACGTGTTAGTAGTTGTTATTGTATATCAGCTTAAGAAATATGTTAGTGCGTACACGTATAATGATTCGTGGCAAAACTATAAGGTATAGTGATGTATCAATATGTTATTGACATTGTTGTAATATATCGTGAAATGTTGTAAGTATGAATATGCATCATGGTGTAACTGTAAGTATGGTGATATGTCTTCATGGTAGTGCAAATGTAATTGTGTCAAGAAACTGTTGTAGGTGTGATGTTGCTTTGCACAATAGTAGAAATAATGTGTTATATTATGGCAATGCTATAAATTTGGTGATCTATCATGACAATGCTATAAGTGTAGTGAAGTGTGATGACAATGTTCGTAATTTTGGTGATGTGTCATAGCAACGTAATAAATGTGATGCTGCTGAATGACAATGTTATAAATGTGTTGGTTTATTGTGACAGTGTCATAAGTATAATAATGCAGGAAACCGTTTTGTAAATGTGTCGATGTGTCATAACAATGTTATAAGTACGATGATATCAAGAGAATATTGTTTAAGGTTCCGAGGATAAAGAAGAGCATATTTATATATACATATATCATTTTTATCTTCTTTCAACAAGTAAATGGTGTCTGTTTTCCTATGAAAAGCACTATTTAGTGTAAATAACGCGTTTCTATTGAAACGACCTGAAATGACTTGGACCATAAAATACTTCAAAGGTTATTGGAATAATAAATATTCTAGTGTGTGTATGAATTAATTTGCGTTTGTAAACAATAATGGGACCATTACGATAGCTTATGAAGTGGTGCTTTTAATGGGAGCATTACGATAACTTATGAAGTGGTGCTTTTAATGGGATCATTACGATAACTTATGAAGTGGTGCTTTTAATGGGACCATTACGATAATTTATTAAGTAGTGCTTTTAATAGGACCATTACGATAATTTATGAAGTGGTGCTTTTTATGGGACCATTACGATAATTTATGAAGTGGTGCTTTTAATGGGACCATTACGATAACTTATGAAGTGGTGCTTTTAAGGAGACCATTACGATAACTTATGAAGTGA